GTTATTTTTAAATAACACTAAAGAGATTAACTATTATAGATAGCATATATTAGAAAATTCAGTATTTTCGTAGGGGTTAGCCCACATATTTCAAGATAAATATTAAAATATATTATTTTTGTTTTATCGCATAGATGGATCATGCACTAACATAGTATGAATATGAAATAGGTTTAACACCTTAGATGTTTCCGTTTCTTTAAAAATAGAGATTTTCTAGGGGTTAGTCCACTTAATAGATGGTATATGAAGTTTAAATAAATTACTTAATAAAAAATAATAAATGATTCCCATATACCATGAAAATACGTTTACCATACACATATAAATTTAGAGTGTGATTAGTTATTTTTAAAATATTATTAAAGAGATTAAACATTATTGATTACATTTATTAGAAAATTCAGTATTTTCGAAGGTGTTAGCCCACATATTTCAAAATAAATATGAAAATATATTATTTTTGTTTTATTACATAAATGCATCATGCACTAATATAGTATGAATATTAAATAGGTTTAAGACCTTAGATGTTTCCCTTTCTCTAAAAAATAGAGATTTTATAGGGGTTAGTCCACTTATTAGATGGTATATAAAGTTTAAATAAATTACTTAATGAAAAATAATAAATTATGCCCATATACCATGAAAATAAGTTTACCATACACATATATAAATTTACAGTGTGATTAGTTATTTTTAAATAACACTAAAGAGATTAAATATTATAGATAGCATTTATCAGAAAATACAGCATTTTCGTAGGGGTTAACCCACATATTTCAAGATAAATATGAAAATATAATATTTTTGTTTTACTGCCTAAATCCATCATGAACTAACATAGTATGAATAATAAATAGGATTAAGACCTTAGATGTTTCTGTTTCTCTAAAAAAATAGAGATTTTATAGGGGTTAATCCACTTATTAGATGGTATATGAAGTTTAAATAAATTACTTAATGAAAAATAATAAATGATGCCCATATACCATGAAAATAATTTTACCATACACATATATAAATTTACAGTGTGATTAGTTATTTTTAAATAACACTAAAGAGATTAAATATTATAGATAGCATTTATCAGAAAATTCAGCATTTTCGTAGGGGTTAACCCACATATTTCAAGATAAATATGAAAATATAATATTTTTGTTTTACTGCCTAAATACATCATGCACTAACATAGTATGAATATTAAATAGGTTTAAGACCTTAGATGTTTCCGTTTCTCTAGAAAATAGATATTTTATAGGGGTTAGTCCACTTATTAGATGGTATATGAAGTTTAAACAAATTACTTAATGAAAAAATAATAAATGATGCCCATATACCATGAAAATAAGTTTACCAAACACATATATAAATTTACAGTGTGATTAGTTATTTTTAAATAACACTAAAGAGATTAAATATTATAGATAGCATTTATCAGAAAATTCAGCATTTTCGTAGGGGTTTAACCCACATATATCAAGATAAATATGAAAATATAATATTTTTGTTTTACTGCCTAAATAAATCATGCACTAACATAGTATGAATATTAAATAGGTTTAAGACTTTAGATGTTTTCGTTTCTCTAAAAAATAAAGATTTAATAGGGGTTAGCCCACATATTTCAAGATAAATATGAAAATATAATATTTTTGTTTTATTGCCTAAATCCATCATGCAATAACATAATATGAATATTAAATAGGTTTAAGACCTTGGATGTTTCCGTTTCTCTAAAAAATAGAGATTTTATAGGGGTTAGTCCACTTATTAGATGGTATATGAAGTTTAAATAAATTACTTAATGAAAAATAATAAATGATGCCCATATACCATGAAAATAATTTTACCATACACATATATAAATTTACAGTGTGATTCGTTATTTTTAAATAACACTAAAGAGTTTAAATATTATAGATAGCATTTATCAAAAAATTTAGCATTTTCGTAGGGGTTAACCCACATATTTCAAGATAAATATGAAAATATAATGTTTTTGTTTTATTGCCTAAATCCATCATGCACTAACATAGTATTAATATTAAATAGGTTTAAGACCTTAGATGTTTCTGTTTCTAAAAAATAGAGATTTTATAGGAGTTAGTCCTCTTATTAGATGGTATATGAAGTTTGAATAAATTACTTAATGAAAATTATAAATGATGCCCAGATACCATGAAAAGAAGTTTACCATACACATATATAAATTTCGAGTGTGATTAGTTATTTTAAAATAACACTAAAGAGATTAAATATTATAGATAGCATTTATTAGAAAATTCAGTATTTTCGTAAGAGTTAGCCCACATATTTCAAGATAAATATGAAAATATAATAAATTTGTTTTATCGCATAGATGGATCATGCACTAACATAGTATGAATATGAAATAGGTTTAACACCTTAGATGTTTCCGTTTCTCTAAAAAATAAAGATTTTATAGGAGTTAGTCCACTTATTAGATGGTATATGAAATTTAAATAAATTGCTTAATGAAAATTTATAAATGATGTCCATATACCATGAAAAGAAGTTTAACATACACATATATAAATTTCGAGTGTGATTATTTATTTTTAAATAACATTAAAGAGATTAAATATTATAGATAATATTTATTAGAAATTCAAAATTTATATATTATAATATTTCAAGATAAATAAGAAATATAATATTTTATTTTATTGCATAGATAAATCATATATTGACATAGTATGAATATATATTGACATAGTATGAATATTAAAGAGATAACTTAGATGTTTTTTTTTCTTTATATTTTTATTTTAATGCATAGCTATTGACATAGTATGGATCTCAGTACATCCATGACAAGTCTTGCCTAAAAGATACAGACGTTGCAGCACCATTAACACCTCTTCTTGAAACCTGAGGACAATCTTCAACCACAAGCTTCTCCAGCTTCCGAGTATTAGCAAGTGCTCTCAATCCATCATCTGTGACTCCCAAACACTTTGATAGTTTCAACACAGTGAGGGAAGGAAACTGGCTCACTAGAACCAACCCCTCGTCGCTCACTTCCTGGCATTGGACAAGCTCCAAGATCTCTAGATTCTGAGCTGAACACAGAGACTCCATGCCCACGTTGTTGAAAAAACACACGTGGTCAAGAGAGAGCTCTCGAATAGGGCATTTCTTGATTAGAGTGATTATCCCCTGGAGGGTGAAAGAGAAGAGGGAAGGAAACTCACCGTCTGAGAACGAGACCTTGAATGATTCAAGCTTTGAGCAGTGTTGAGCTATGGCATTAAGGCTTTCATCGGTTAATCTCATGGCAACGTTGTTTAAGAGAGGTAGAGTGAAATCAGATGGAACACGCAGTGAGATGCTCCTAAGGTGTTTAGCTCCCTGGACCAATGATATGATGTCCGAATCACTGACACCAATACACATGTCCAGATGAAGCTTCTCCAGGCTCTTGCACTTTCTCAGCACACAAGCGAGCCCTCTACCGGGAGCTATGACGCAGTTCACAAGGCTGAGCTCCACAAGATTCTCACAGGGAATCAACTGTTTCCGCCATCTCTCCACAGCTAACTGATCATAAGCCTCCATGTTCCTGTAGTTTGCATCTACCTCAAACCTCAGAACTCGAAGCTTACTCCAGCTAGTTCCCAGCTTGATTAAATCACCTTCCCCAACCCCTCTGCAGTTCTTGATACAGAGCTCTTCAAGAACCTCAAGCTTTCCGAAATACTCCAACCACTCCACGCTTGCCACGTTTAAGCATCGAATGAGATGAAATCTCCTGAGTTTCTTGCAGCCTACAGCTAATGACAACACGCCGCAACCGGTGACTCTTGGAGCGAAGTTCAACTTCAAAGAAGAAAGCTTTGTACAGGAAGACAAATGACGAATGCCAACATCGGTGATGAAAGTGCAGTAGCTAAGAGTGAGATCAGAGAGGGAATAGCAGTTGGTGGAGAGGAGAAGAAGGCCTCGGTCGTCAAGTTGTTTGCCTAGTATCGACATCCAACCAGAGTATACGATCTCTACTTTGGACAGATAAGGAAATCTCCTGCAGAGAGATAGCAAGGCATCGGGTGCAGGAACTAAACCGCAGCCAATCCGGAGAGAGTGTCTTTGCTCGTTGTCTAGAGAGTAGAAACGCTTGCAACATAGTGAAAGAGAGTTTCTGTCATTGGTTTGGTCAAGGTTCCTGAGGATGTCCCAAACTAAATGGTCTGGCAACTCATCCATTGTCTCCTTGTGATCAATCTGTGAAGAAGAAGAAAAACCAAAGATAAACTTGTGAAGTCAGAATACTAGTCTTATAAAAGATAGATATTGCACAAACGAAGTTAACATTTGAATAATATAAAGAAGACAAGAGCTTCAATAGAGCACGGTGACTATGCTAAACTTGCACACATAAGAATACACGAAATAATCTGATTAACAGAGATGAAATTTTCCAAGAAACAAAAATAAGCGTTGACCTCTTTCAAGAGTGATCTCAAAGAGAAATATCTTATAAGATGGACGATGAAAATAATAGGAAAACGCATAAAGAAAATAATCCATAAAGAAATATAATTCCAAACTCAAGATATATCCCCAGGGAGACCTGGGTGAGATGATTCCAGGCCTGAAACTAGTCTTGCAAATTTTTTAAAAAAAAAAGAAAAAGAAAGCAGAAGAGAAAAGGATCTAACCAGAAACAACGTTGAAGAAGGAAAGTGCGAACCTGAAAGGGACGGTTTATCCATCAAAAGAACTCCTTTTTATATTCCCACTCCAGGTCAGTCGGTCGGTTGGATAAGGACTACCTCCTACTACTATTAAGATTATAATAATAGTTTGCCTTTCAGTAAATATATTTTCAGATGCATATGTTTTCATGCTCTGATTCTACTTTGTCAAGCAAATACAATATTTCATGTTTGATTGTTACTATTATTACCGATCAAGTATTTTATAACAGAGGCTAAAAGGATATACTGGTTTCAACTTCCAACAATATAGTAGAGGCTGACACAAAGAATAACCCCCACCGTTCCTCTCAGATCTTTTTCATTAGCACACAAAACAAGAATAGCTAGATTGCTTCAACATCTTTAAGTCTACTACCGGAAACTGGAGGTCTTCAACCCTTTCTTCTGTTACTCTTGTTTTCACTTGCATGTTTAACTTTCTCAGTCCCAGAGGAAGAGGTTGTAGTAGTAGTATTGGTTGATATGGCCAACACGGTGCCGTCCTTCACCTCCTCCTTTAACTCTGATCCTCCTTCACTCTCACCACCATCCATTTGGGCCATTAGCTTTCCAAGCTGTTAGTCTCATTTAAACACATTTAGTAATTATGTCTCTAGATGACACTTCAGGTTGTATTGTCTATATACTATACATGTTTCTTTACCTGTTCTTCCAAGCGCTCAATCTTTTCATCCTTCACCTGAACCGCCTTCTTCTCCCTAAAAGTCCGAGCTCAGTTTTATCAAGAAGGAAAAAACAATTCAGTCCTTAGTTACTAATGCACACCATATGATACATACCTTTCTTCCATTTCTGTAATCTTGGTGCTCCATACGTCCTTGTTTTTTATCAGATTTTCGTTCAACTAAATATGAGCCAGAACAAAATAAGTAAAGTCCTCTACTGAAAAGACAATATGCAAGAAAAACCTTCATTTACACAAAAACTATATATGTATACTCACATCTTCAAGAAATTGCTTCTCTTTAAAACATCTGTCACGTCTGGCTTGCAGCTTCTGCAGTCTCTGGCTTATTGCCTTGCTCGCAGCCTCTGACACTTTCTGTTCCGTTTCCTCTTTGACATTTTGTAGCAATTTTTCAAAATACTAACGAGAGGGGAAACGAGGAAAAACACAAGGGAAACAAAACAAAAAAAGTCTTAATCTCTTTGCTACACAGAATTAAACACTACAAACTGTAAATCAGATAATGATAGACAAGCAGAAATGGAGACAGGAAATGCAAACGGTATACGTGCTTACTTGTTTTTGATTCTCTAGTTGTGCCTGGAGGAGTTCATTGTACTCGCTGATGATCTGTGGTTTGAAAATGATAAAAAATAAAAATAAAAAGTTAGCAATAAATTAACTTAAGTTCTAAATTTTAACATGAAACAAAAGTACTACCATGTCCACTTTGCTGTTCAAGAGAGCATCACTCATTCCACTGTCAGAATATTCACAGCTTCCACAACCATCCTTGCTCAAACTACCGTGAGAGTTCAACTCTACTAACTTGCCATCAGTTTTGGATTGAATAAGCCGGTGAACATAATTGTCACCAGCATAATCCCAAACACGCTGTGTTTCAAGCTCAAGTGAATAGCAATGCTCCGTCTCCTCCCAGTGCGTTCTGGCATGTCCTCCCTTGTACCTTCAATAAATATTTAACAAGTAGAAACGATAAACCTTGTACAGAAGAGAAGGAAACCAGAACATAAATGTCACAGAAAATGCAATCTATACCTTCCGCAGCCAACAACCCCACAAATAACACACATCCAGAGATTCTCCGTTGTTTGGCAAACACAACATTCTGAATTTTCAGGCTGCTGCTGGCAATATCGACAAACCTGAAAACAAAAAAAAACAACACCACATAAGTATAAATAGGTAAATCGACATAGGATCCAAAAATTGGCATGAAAATGAAAAAAAAAAAGGTACCGGGCAAGAAGAATCCGGCCAATTAGAAATACATGAACAATGGAAGGAATGATTGCACATAGTTGTGAGAATACCACCAGTGTCTTGGTCCAATCTCTCTGAAAATGAACACATATCAAACAAGATTCAAGGAAGCCCAACTAATCTGCTCAACTTATGACACTAACGACACTGTCAATCTTAAAACCATCACCTAAAGTCTACATTTCTAGGGCCAGACGAAACCATATCAAACTTTAATAATTCCGGTTAAGTGCTTACCAAGACAAACAGGGCAAGTAGGTTGCTCAATTGGGCCAGCAGAAGAAGGCTGAGTGTGGTCAATAGATCCACTATAACCGGTAAACTGAACATCTAGAGTAAAAAGCAGGCGACAAACATCTTCCTGCACACAATTGTCAACAGCTAATCAATCACAAAGATAAAATATACGCATAAGCCTTAGGGTGTCTCAAAACAAAATCACACCTCAAGAGAATTGAATCGTTTCCCTCTAAAATGCTGGTAGAATGTATCAGTAGACTCTTGAGAATCAAACCTTATCAAAATGTTATATCTATTTTCAATCTCATCATTCCTGTAAAGATGAAAGATCAAATAAGCAAATAATCTTTTATAATTCTTCATCCAAACTAAGATTATTCTTCTATACCTCACAGTTCGCATTTCGAGTATGTGCTGGATGAAGGAGCCGCAGAACTGGCAAAAATCTGCATATGTCATGTGGTTCGGCACCCCGAGAACGCAAACCAGAGGGTTCCTCCCAATCTAAATTGATTCAACTCGGATATAAATTGATGCAATCAATCGAAAGAATAACCGATTTGAAATTACGTAAGGAAGAGATCTTACAGGGAGATTCGAGGAGGAAGAAGAAGACGACGGCGAAACGGAATCATCGGGAAATAGATGCATGACGCCGCGAGTCTCCCCGATTCTAGGGTTCCCAGAGGAAAAATGAACAGTCTGAGTCATCTCGGAGAGAAACGATTCGCCGGAAACACTTGCCAACGGTGGAATAACCGATTCTTCACCGGCGATTAAGGTTGAAGTTGAGGGCATCATCGTGAGACTACTAGAACTCTTGCCGCCAAAGAAAAGAAGACGAGTTTCGTTTATTTTACTACTATGAAGATCTCACACGCCTAATATAGTTTTACTATCCAGTGAGACCATGACACGTCATTAACTCCACCAGGATATATTTTATTTTTCGTTTTGAAAACCATCAGGATATTTATTTTATAGAGACACGCCAAAAGTTTCCATGTGATCAAATAAGTCCTATAACATAACATCACACATACACACTGGCTGATGAGACTGAGACTCTTATTGTTGGAAAATGATTAAAAACAAAATTATCTTCATGACTCTTCAAAGTTGATTAAACAGAAGCTTGAACGTGGGAATCCACTGACTTCAGAACCTCCTCTCCCATCTCCTTGCACCCCACAAGTTTCTGATTCCAAAAAAGACAAACAACATAAGTATTTATTACTTCTAAGCTTTACAAAAACCAACTCTGATGGGAATATTGTAGTAAGATTAGTTCAAGAAAATTACAGTTCCTGCGGAGTAGATGTCTCCTGTTCTGAATCCCTTGTTCAGAGCACCCAACACCGCGTCTTCAATTCTCTTAGCTGCCTTTTCTTCTCCAAGTCCGTATTTCAGAAGCATTGCCGCGCTGAGGATGGTTGCTAACGGGTTTGCTTTATCCTGCAAAATTTCAAAGAATCTGGTAAGTTTTACTCTTCATTTTGGCATAGATAGAAGTGATTTTGACAACAGAGAAGAAAAGAAATAAAGTTAGGACCTGTCCAGCAATATCAGGTGCAGAACCATGAATAGGTTCAAAGAGTCCAGGTCCCTGTATTAAATTAAATAGCAGAGTTTTATAAGTGATTATATTGCTGCACTCAAAGATGGGATTATAACATATTTATACCGAATCACTGAGACTAGCAGACGGAAGCATGCCGATGCTTCCTGTAATCATTGACGCTTCATCGGACAATATATCACCAAAAATGTTGTTTGTAACAATGGTGTCAAACTGCAATTAAGAAAAGACCAAACCATTGTAAGAATTTATAACACCAAGGGGCTATCAATGCTGACTAGTTTGGCAAACATAAGTACCTGTTTAGGGTCACGAACAAGCTGCATCGCAGCATTGTCAACATACATATGTGACAGTTCAACATCCGGATATTCAGCGGCTAATGCGGTTACTCGTCTCCTCCATAAAATCGAGGCCTGCATAAGAGAAACTCGCATTAAAATTATGTGTTTTCTGTGTCACATAAGAAATAGGAGCCAGGAATTTTGAGGAAAAAGGTAATGATAAAGCATACATCCAAGACATTAGCTTTGTCAACAGAACAAAGCTTGCCACGCCGTTTCCTAGCAGTCTCAAAGGCAACACGAGCAATTCTATCAATCTGAGGAACATTAGAAAAAAAAATGTTTTATTACATCTGTTGGTAGTACTTAGCAAAGAGATGAGGAGGATTTGAATAGAGTACCTCGTGAGCAGCATAGACCTCGGTATTGAACCCAACTTCCTCACCATTTTCATTAGTCTTAATGCCCCTTGGCACTCCAAAGTAAATACCTGTTTCCGCGAGACATCATCACACAGTGTACAGATACTATACCACTATGGAACGAGAAAGACACAAAATTTAAGATTAGTTTCAATCAAGTGAGTAGACAGACCTCCTGTAAGCTCCCTTACAACCATAAGATCAACACCTTCTGCAACCTCTCTCTTCAAGGTCGAAGCATCCACTAACTGATAGAAGAAAACATATAATCTGAATTTTCCACAGGTAGCGAAACTACAAGCTAACAAGAACTCCTGGGGTTAAGAAGAAGATGAGTAACCTGTGGAAGAACAGTAGCAGGTCTGAGATTAGCAAAGACTTTAAGAGCGGCACGAAGTTGAAGTAAACCAGTCTCAGGCTTGAGATGTTTTTCATTCTTATCCCATTTGTACCTGAAATAATCACACCAACAGAATAAGCAGCATATAAACGAGTAGAGCCAACAAGAGAGAAGTAACAGACCCTCCAATGGCTCCGAGAAGCACAGCATCTGATTCTTTAGCAGCGGAAACGGTCTCCTCAGGCAAAGGCACTCCGACCAAATCCAAAGCAGCTCCTCCTACATGCATTTCCTTGAAGCTAAACTCCAGACCTGATTAAACATCATCACAGAATCAATCGTTTATCCAAATAAATCCTAACCCCCCCCCCCCCCC